TAAAGAAAAAATGTTATATTCACAAAATACAAAATCCTACATGGGCTTATTTCAATAACAATTAAGTTTTCCGCACACAATCAATCGGCACTTTCGGCACACCATGCCCTGTGGCGCTCTTCTATACACAGACTGCACTACAGTACCAAATAAAATCTGTAATTGACATTTGGCAATGAAACAAAATCGACCGTAGGACAGCATTCGGAAACCTCAAAGCGGTATCGGCAAATGAGTCACACAAGGGATTCTACAAAAAAAAAGTTAAATAAGTGACGATTTACTGCAGTACCACAATAAAAATGCTGGCCATCGTAAAGCAAATGAAAGGCAGGATTGTTCGGACGGCGGTTTGCGAAGTGCAAACGTAAATTTGTGAAACGTTGTGGGTGGCTTCGGGCGTGTAGGCGGTGCGTTTGCAAACACCGAAACGTTATGTTCATTGATCTAATATAACACTGAAGACGCAATTCAATCGGTCTCGAGAAATTACGTCACAAACTTTACTGGTGGTAGGACCTCTTGTGAGTCCGCGCGGGTAGGTACCACCATCCTGCCTATTTCAGCCGTGAAGCAGTAGTGCGTTTCGGTTTAAAGGGTGGGGCAGCCGTTGTAACTATACTTGAGACCTTAGAACTTATATCTCAAGGTGGGTGGCGCATTTACGTCGTAGATGTCTATGGGCTCCAGTAACCACTTAACACCAGGTGGTCTATAAGCCCGTCCACCCATCTAAGCAATAAAAATTAAAAAAAAAAAATACATTTATTTTTTATTTATTTATGTATTTATGTACACACAGAAAACAAGACACAGTACAGAGTAATAGGAAAATTATGTACAAAAATTATGTACATCCTAGTTTAGACCGTAGCATCGCTTAATGCTTCCATAATTCAAAGGCTGTGCATTTAAGAATGTTTACTTCGTTAATTAAGTGTCAAAGGGGCTTAGTTAGCACAGTTATAGCGTTTTCTTGCCAACGGGTTTGTTTTTTCTTTCTTCAATGAGCCGCCTCGTTAGTCAAGTGGCGAATAAAGGAAGTCTAACACGGGATCTGTGTCGCGCCTTAGCGAAAGATAATTAATGTCTTCTTAAATTATTTCAATTTATAGCTTTTGTATAATTACTGGTGATTTGGAGTAATGTGATGCCGTATGGGTAGTTATCATCACCCTGTATTTTCACAGCGAAGCAGTTTGAAGGAGAGGACAGCCATTTTACAATACCATTGCGGTTTCGACCTCACGTCTCAAGGTGGATTACGGCATTTATGTTGCCATTTTATATGGGCTCCGATTGCCACTTAAGTATAGATCGCGAGGACATTCATCAATGCAATAAAAGTTCATATCTCGGGTCCAAAAGTAAGACAAAAAAGACGAAGCATAATATGTTGAATGTGAAACGCTCAACATTCTGAGTATATATTTTATATTGGGTACTAGTTGTAGACTTTTCTATGAGCTCAAAGATATTGATATGACCATCTTGCTTATTTCTAAAGCGGAGCAATCATGCGTTATGTTGGAAACAGAATAATCGTTTTTTTGCATGTTTAATTAAGACTGCAACTTCCAAACTGTTACAATATACGGATAGCTAGTGAGTTTTTTGCAAGATATTCTCTGTGGGTCGTAATTCAGATCTAGTAGCAGAATCAGCGAAGCACTGCTCTTGCTAAGGCCAGCGTTGGCAATTCTCTCAAGTTGAGCCCGTGAGCTCACGTACCGATCCGCGCGAAATTGGAATAGCCCCTTAGACTCCCAACGATTAGGTAGGGTAAATAATAATAATTTTACGTCAATGTAATAGCACAATAAAGAAAATAGAGGCGGCACAGACGATACAAACAAAAACAATGTATATATTCTTTAGTTATAACAGTGAGCCACCTTTTCGTCGACACCGAACAGTCAAATGGGAAGTGTCCCGCTGTTCGTATGGAAAGAGAGTGTAACATCTTCACTGGACATCGTTAAAACGTTGCGCTTTCAAGCTTTACTTCAAGGGCTGCCACTTAATAGTTAAGCAAAAAATTTAGAAATATTTTAGGCAGTCCCAAGTGTCCTAAAAACTGAGTTATTTTTTTTAATTTGGAATAGTTATTCAATTGCATTTGATGATGACGTTTTCCTTGTTATGGATTTTTTGTGCACCGCGTACTAAGTTTGGGTAATCACCCACCTGGAGATATGAGTTCTGAGGTCTCAGCTTGTACAGTACAACGGCTATCCCGCCCTTCAAACCGAAACGCATTACTGCTTCACGGCAGAAATAGGCGGGGCGATGGTACCTACCCGTGCGGACTCACAAGATCTACCACCAGTATACGAGCTCAGTATATTACTAAACTTGGTGTGACCATATAGTAACTGTCTTTAAATTCATTATATTAAGATAAAAACAATTCTTTATTTCAAAAACGAGTCAAAACAATACATTGATTGGAGTATCCTTTTAAGCGTGCAAGCCTGTACTAGGAGACTCCGAACTCCGTTAATACACCATATATTTAACATTATTGTTTCTAATTTAATCTTATCCTGTATACACATATACATATATTTTTAATTATTAATTATTTTTTTTCATTATTTATTAGAGCCATACACCTATTAGGTTAAGTTGGCTTTTATTAATTTTCATAAATAAAATATTTATTCCGAATCGCACCACTGTCAACCCTAACCGTCCATTCAAAAGACCAATATTTACTGCAACTAATTTGCACTAAACAAAGCACATCCGATTCCTTTAAACCATTTTTTAAACTGTCACCAAGACTGTTGATTGTAAAACTGTCTATTCATATACAACGCTTAATTGGTTCCAGTTTTCCTTTGTGAGATTCTAATGCTATGGTGGACTGACACTAATTGCCTCCAATAGGGATAGCAATAAATACATAATAGGACGGGCCAAATCCTGAGCACGGGGACCGACAAAGCGAGTTGGCTAAATATTGTACTGATTTTAAACTTTTGTATTTCACCAACCAGCCTTTATTGAACTTCTGACGCCTTTATTTTGTCTACCGTCTTATAGTAATACTACAATGGTCCAGTATTTATTGCCGTGCAACTTGAATACATTGTATAAACTACTGTGTAGCAGTAAACTGCGTCTTCTATTTTTAGAAGCGTTGTTTTTAAGCACCAAGTTATTCTTTTTAAAATATTGTTTTATTTACCCAATCGAACTAACCTTAACATAATCTGCATTTTTGTTTTGCCCAAAATAAGTAAACAATCCCGTAGCAATGTTTATTTCAAATTAGCCTAAACCAAAAATAATGCCAACTGCGAAATTTGAGTTTAAGAACTTCATAGGTTATTTACTGTTCAAACCGGGTATAATAACCGGCAAACTTCTTGAGCATTTGTTGACGTAGTGGGGGTAAGTTTGCGCATGGTACATTCACGTGCAAAAACATTACTTACTCTGCGTCATAATGCTATTAAATTATTAAAATCAACATATGTATTTATTTATATTTATTATTTATTATTTATTAGAACATCAACAAAACATATAGGTTAATAATTGTAATAATTTAATCTTGGGGTAAAATAGATATTCCTTCTATTAAGTCAAAACTAGAGCTGTTGCCAGGTCTTGGTTCAGTTAAAGCGAAGCTGGTATTTGTATTTTTTTTTTCGTTATCATAATCTTGACCATCATCATCATCACTGTTTTCATCACCCGAGTCGCTATCATCGTGATGAGTCGACATAGGGCTCATCGGCGTAGTTTACAACTCGGTCGATTCAGTCTTCTTTTTTGTCTATAATTAATTATTTTTTGAAGATATTCGATTCGTAGTAATCGAATGTTACTTTTTTCATTTACCAGCTTCCGATTATTTTCTGTTCTTTTTTTCCATCTGAAGCCTAGCTCTTTCATAATTCGTCGTAAGCTTCATTCCGAGCCATTAAAATTTATATCTTCTTTAAATTTTTCGAAGCCTTTCTACGGTACGGAGTTTCGCTGCTTGTTATGTAGTTATTATGATTACATCTTTTTATTACAGATTGAACGAAACTATCCATTCCGGTAACTTTCTTCTTCCCTGATCTTTTCTTACCCGGAGTCCGAAACACGGCGAGCAAGCCAGAGCCTTTAGCTTCGTTAATAATGCACCTAACAGTACTCACTGATGTTTTTGTTGCTTCCGAAGTCTGTTTTAATTTTTCCATATCATTCTTCCCCTGTTTTATAATGAAGCAATATACGTCGTACACAAATTTTCTACCCTTTCTTTTAAGTACTACACCAGTTTGTCACGGCATAGTGTATGTTTTATAAAAAATCAACAAACACTCAACAAATAGCAATGGCAACAAAGTCCACAAGCAATTATAACAAATAACTTAACGATTAATAACGATAGACTTTCCACTGTACGCAAGCGTACTTTGGGAGCAAGCGGAATGAGGGCGCGGTGCGGGACGCAAGATTCGACTGATCTACCAATAACGCGCTCGATACGATTTCCCCTGCCGTCGCGCCTCACCCTCACCACCAAAGTGATCTAAAATTCGGTTCTGCGCAGTCAAGGTCATTTGCTCAAGAAGTTTGCCGATTACTATAATACGATTGTTTTGTGGCACAAATAGAATAGCGGTCCATACCTATCTTAGGTTGCTTATACTATCTACTAACTAAGGGATTGAGTATGTTACGATGGGTAAGAAATAGCAGTAAGGGTCCTAAGATATCCCTCGACCTAATACATAACGTCTGCAAACCATCAAGTCCCATATAGTCCGCGTACCCCCTAGGCGCTAATACTTCGAAAAGACGTAGAGGAAAGGGATGGAATGAACGAGACCAATGGATAAGCTTGTCTCTTTCTAATCTACTGTTTGGTCATTTGATTATTTAGAGCCCCTGAAAAAGGTCATTCTAGGTCCATTTTTGAAATCCGAAAATTTCGAAATGGGTCTCTATAGTTCTAAAGGCGCGACATCTCCGCCCGTGGATAGGGTTAATTATTGTCATACTAACTTGATAGAACAAGGCTTGGGATTCATTGCCAATAAATAGTCGTTGAGGCTGTTCTCGCAATTAGAATACGCCATCCCGAAACCGAGACCGCCGCCGATGTACATTGGCCATTTCTTGTAGCCTCTCAAGAAGAAACTACCCATCATGCTGCCTATTAAGAGCCCTGTCACTGAAATAATTCAACACATTATTATAGTATACAAGGTTTTTTTTTTATTAGTAGATATTTTGAACAGTCCGTCCGCCATAAATGGTTTTCAGAACCAACGTGAACGCTGTCATCAGCACTCAACTATGAAAGACGAAGTCAACTCTATTGCAAAGCGAATGTCACCCATCAAACCGAAATGCATGCGAGCATTACGCCAGAAACAGCCAGGCATGAGAGCATTACGCCAGAAACAGCCAGCCAGGCTTTGCGGTAGGCAGTGGCTTGGCTCTGCCCCTGGCATTGCTGAAGTCCATGGGCGACGGTAACCACTCACCATCAGGTGGGCCGTATGCTCGTCTGCCTACAAGGGCAATAAAAAAAAACTTATATTCTGCTATTACAATATAACAAACAGCGATAGGTAGGTTTTGGTAAGCAGTGGCTTGGCTCTGCCCCTACCATTGCTGGAGTCCATGGGCGACGTTAACTACTCACCATTAGATGGGCCGTTTGCTCGTGTGCCTACAAGGGCAATAAAAAAAACAGAACATGAAATTTAGGAAACTAATCAGCAGCAAAATAGCAGTGAAGCAATCGTGATAGAATTTGTCAGCAGACTAGCCATTATTCAATTGACTATGAGAATTCGATTTCATATTTTAAAAATTAAAGCGGTAGTACACTGTGAACTGTTTAGACCAAACAACCATGAGCGTAAAAAAGGAACACTAGATTGGATAATTTAGTACCCCCGATCAGAATAGAGACTAATGATGAAAAACTAATCAAGCTGTATTATGAATTGCATGTAAGGGGTGCAGTAATTAGATCTATTGGTCTGTATGAAATCTAGTCCCTATGCATCCTGTAAGTATATAACCTGATTATGTAAACCCATGTATTCTGATTATTAAATAATCAACTTACGGCACTGGTATTCTTATTGACATGACAACCTGAGTTTTGCTACCCACTTTCTGACTTGAGATCGAATTTAATTGCCGGACCCTTAAAACCGGAACGCGAAATTTTATACGATATGATTGTGACATGCATCTTATCTAATCATCCTTGCCAGGAAAAGAAGGTTGGAAGAAAGTAAGAAGGTAAGAAGAAAGTAAGAAGAATTTTGGGAAGGAAAAGCTTTAGTTAAATGAGACTGCCGCTAAGGGTATTGCATTAGCTACAGTTCCCCGGGGTCACCTACCAATATATAGCTGACATAACTGATAGATGAACGTTAGGATCCTTTGATCCTAAAATTATATTGTTGCATTACATTTTTACATAGATAAAAAGGGTAGCCTTCGCACTAGGTGGGACACTAACATGTTGAAAGCCGCGGGTCGCGGAAGATCGGACTTTGGGCGAAACCTTTGGATAGGTATATACTGAGCAGTGGATGATGATGTAGAAATCTTACTAAATAAAGGTCATTAATAAATGATTAATTTCAAGATGGTCAACACCAAAAAAGCCTAAAAACACTTTCGGGTGCAATGAAAATGCAGCCTTCTGTACAGCTAAATAATAGTCATGTATTAATTTACCTGTTTTCAATCCGAAATCAACGAAACATGCAGAGTACCGATCTTCAAAGTCACGTTTGTCGGTTTTACTCATTTCTCGCATGAACTAAGTCACAGATACGTAACTAAATAGAAACATATACATTTTGATTTCGAAACAATTATTAGTGAATTAATTTAAAGGGATTAATGTTTTTAATAAAAGCAAAATGAACGAAGCTACGATTTCGCATTGACAATGTTAAATTTTAATGTCACATTTTTTAAAGCAGGTTTTGCTTCAATCTAGAGATTATTGTTACATGATTATTCTTCAAATACATTGTTATATTAATTAAAAACTAAAAATAAGCACTTAGAGGAAAAGAAAAGAAGGAGAAGTATAAATAATTTAAATCAAAAGTGCAAGAGCCAAAGTTTTAGTATACTAAAAAGGTGGATGAGCTCTCGGCCCAAATAATGTTAAGTGGATACCGGAGCTCATATATAAGTTGTTTATGGTGCTTTGCGACACATATTACGGTATCCTGGCTTAATACTTAAAGAACGTGACAATCCATTCTCCGGCAATTTTTTTATATAACACGCGTGGAATCATATCGGCAATCTTACAATAGAGGCACAATATAGAAAAACTTTATTGGTAGGATTTCTTGTGAGCCCGCACGTGGGGTAGCCGTGGTAACTATACCTTAGAACTCATATCTAAAGGTGGGTGGCGGCATTTACGTTGTAGATGTCTAAGGGCTCCGGTAACCACTAAACACCAGGTGGGCTGTGAGCTCGTCTACCTATCTATGCAATAAATTAAAAAAGCTAACATTAAATTACAATTCTCACTCAAATAACTTCGGTTAATCTAGTTTAAAAGCCGTATTTTCTATCGGGCGGAAGCTCCAGGGATTACCCGGTAATCCTTGCAACACAATTATTAATTCGGCCAATTAAGATTTCAATCAGATAGTAATACTGATTAGATTCACATAATTAAAGGGTTGATTTGCAGGTCATTGAATTATGTTATTATTGTGTACAATACAAATTTGAAGTCGTCGTGGCCTAAGGAATAAGACATCCGGTGCATTTGTGTTGAGCGATGCACCGGTGGTTCGAATCCCAGGCGGGTACCAATTTTTCTAATGAAATACGTACTCAACAAATGCTCACGATTCACTTCCACGGTGAAGGAATCATCATCATCATCATCATCATTTCAGCCTGTCTGCTGTCCACTGCTGAACATAGGCCTCTCCAACTGTGAAGGAATAACATCGTGTAATAAAAATGAAACCCGTAAAATTATAATTTGCGTAATTACTGGTGGTAGGTCTTAGAACTTATATCTCAAGGTGGGTGGCGCATTTACGTTGTAGATGTCTATGGGCTCCAGTAACCACTTAACACCAGGTGGGCTGTGAGCTCGTCCATCCATCTAAGTAAAAAAAAAAAAACCAAAATGGCAAAGTATTTGAAATGTCAACCATAATATAATGAAGAAAATTAGTTTTGTTTGTTGTATAGTTAATATTCAGGTAAAATCTGTTTAATTTTTAAAGCGCCTGCTAAGTTCTATATACAGCTTACGAACTGCCACTTGAAAGATAGATTGAGGCGTCTAAATAATACAATTGCGCCTATGAAATAAAGCTGCTGTTTCCAGAACAGTTAATTATAGTTTTAAAGTTAAATCGAACACCAAATTAGCCTCCTATGATTATAATTAATGAAGCGAATGAAATCTCGCATTTCAGTAATAACTAAACCATGAACCCTAGATACTGTCGCCAATTAGGGACAGCTTAAAATAATTCGATCCAAACTAACGTCCATCATTCAGTACATTAACCATAGCCCCGAAGGTATTCCAAAACCAAAATTAAATTTCCATACGTTTGTCAAATAACCTCTAATAGAATTCTGTTTAGATAAAAGCTAAAATTAGTGGCCAATGTTTGATCAAAATCGACTAAATAATGAAGTTAGCCGTTCCGCCAATCCGCCAATGGGGCACGTACGAATTAGTTCAAATCACACATAGCAGATCCGGCCTTAGCTAGTCTAAACCAGTAATAGACAAAGGATTTGCACCGAACAAGCTGCAAGCCTAATCATCGGATACAGATACGTATTCAGGCAGTGAAACAGAATATGGATCATTAGATTACGTGAAAAATTCTATTTCAATGTTCTAAATGAAGTCAAATCAAGAATTTCAGACAAAGGAACAATTATGCTTTGATAAAGGTCAAACAACTTTGACGACAGCTATAAAATCATAATTTAGAACCTTGGGGCATGAAAGCTAGCTGGCTTACAGTGAAGATTTTAATGAATAATTCTTTGTTTGAAGCATTTTATATTATCCTCCAAACTCACATCACATACGTCCCTGCAAACAAGACATAACAACTGCCTCCACCCATAATCCTATCTGCATGTCTTATCAAAGCGGTTTCCACGTAATGAACGGAAATTGACAGCCATGATTGGAGCGATGAAATCCTACCGAAGACGGAATGACAGATGACTAAGCTATCGAATTAGTGGTCATTTAATGCATACAAAATGTTTCAACTAGAATTCGGAAACTAAAATGGCAATGGACAGGACATACAATAAGAGGCATCGAAAAATGGAACAAAAGCATAGTGTTTTGATACCCTAGAGATAGAAAAAGGAAACGAGGCAGACAGATTCGGAGGTGGGAAGACGAGATAAAGACGGTAGCAGGAAAACTATGGACAAGGAAAGCTCTAAGCCGAGTAGAGTGGAAAGAAATGGAGGAGGCCTTTGCCAAAGTTGGGCAAACAGACGAAGTTGTCGATGTCATCGACTCGGCAGAGTCGTTAATTTAAGTTTATTATTTGTAAATATCCTTTGCGTCTGAATAAAGGCTTTTATTATTATTATTATTATAATGCATACATAGCATTCTAATGTCATAATTGATTTATTTCTCAAATATAAAAGATACCGCTTAGCTGATATATGTTATATTGGATCGAATGATTACGTTTAATATTTTCTAGCTAGAAAATAAAAATTATGACCCATATATGTATGTATAGTATTAATACTTTCTTCTAATTTGCGGGACCCTAACTTAACACAAAAAAAACACAACCGGAAATGAATTCTATTTTTTCAATAGTAATGCTCACATTATTGAAATGAGATTAAGGAGTCCATTACCGCATTATAATACGTTCTGCTACGATTGAAAATTTAAATCGTATAGTTTGATACTTCGCGTGTGTGTTTTTCAATGATACCTATTTTACGTAATTGTTCAGACGATGTTGCGGCTGAAATTGTCTGCGGCTGAAACAGAAAAAGTCTAATTATGGAATTTAAATACGCTTATGAATTGATTTATGTTAAATTATTTTTATGTTTTTTTTTTTTTATTGCTTAGATGTGTAGATGGGCTCACAGCCCACCTGGTGTTAAGTGGTTACTGGAGCCCATAGACATCTACAACGTAAATGCGCCACACACCTTGAGATATAGTTCTAAGGTCTCAGTATAGCCACAACGGCTGCCCCACCCTTCAAACGCATTACTGCTTCACGGCAGAAATAGGCGGGGCGGTGGTACCTACCTGTGCGGACTCACAAGAGGTCCTACCACCAGTAATAAAGAATATTAAATTTAGATAGAAAAAAAAAGTAATACTAAATTATTAACTTATCGCTAAAGCCGAATCGTCTTTGTGAATTGTCAATGATAATACTGTGTTCGAAACAATGAAGTAATTCGTTGATAACTTTTATGTTCCAATTATAATTTAAGTAGACCGAAACATCTATATATTAATACGTGAAGCAAAAACTTTGTATCCCTTTTTACGAAAGTTGCGCGGACGGAGGAGTATGAAATTTTCCACACTTATAGAGAATATAGAGAAGAAGTGCACAATGCTAATATTTTTGAAAAATAATGCATAAAAGATACATTAAATTAATAAAGAAAACATTACACACACTACATACCATGTATTTGACGCACACACGCATGCATACTATTTATTGCCAAACTTTTGTTCTTGGCGTCTGTTGTCAAATTGAGAATAGATTAAATATTGTTTGTCTTTGTTAATATTTTTTATAGTGAAGTCTTGGCGAAATTTGTGATTATAGAAGTATAAAATACAATCATAATAGTGTACAAACTTACAATTCCAATTAATTATAGTCGAATTTCGACTACTGCGGGACCACTAGTTATGATTAATAGCAATACGCTTTCAGTTATACTCGTACCATTAAATCTAATAATTATTAGAATTATGCTTTAAGTATGCGTTATTTTATTCCTGATCATTTATCTAAACACCGAAAATACTTGTTTTGTTTCGAGTATTACAGCCATATTAACTTATTGATATTTATCGCTTTTATATCTAACTGAACGTAATCTTGAGGGAGAATTATTAAGGACTTTAAAGTTAGGCACTAAAAGTAAATTATAAAATATCATATTTACATTTAAAAAAAAAAAAAAAAAAAAACACCATAATTGCAATTACTGAAAAGTTATTTAGTTTTTATAATATTTAAATAGTTTCCGGTTTTTCGAGTTATTGGTACGAATTTATAATTTGTTATAGGTATATCGAAGAAAGCCTCTGAATCCAATTTGAATTTCCCGCCAATTTTGCTAGTCTTTTAGTAGCCATATATGGCTTAGCAATCATTTACAATCTCACAAGCATTTACTGGTGGTAGGACCTCTTGTGAGTCCGCACGGGTAGGTACCACCGCCCTGCCCATTTCTGCCGTGAAGCAGTAATGCGTTTCGGTTTGAAGGGTGGGGTAGCCGTTGTAACTATACTGAGATCTTAGAACTTATATCTCAAGGTGGGTGGCGCATTTACGTTGTAGATTTCCATGGGCTCCAGTAACCACTTAACATCAGGTGGGCTGTGAGCTCGTCCACCCATCGAAGCAATAAAAAAAAATAAAAAAAAAAATCCGATTAAATAAGATTCACTGATCATATAGATTTCACGAAATAACTCATAACCTAAACAAAAAATATAAAAATCTAGATAGCTGTTTACTGTAACAACACGCCTCTATTAAGAGCCGCTCTACCCCTCAG